TCTTTGCGCAAATGATCAAAAGGCTCCGAATATACCGTTTTTTTGCGATACCTTCGAGGACACTTAACAAAATTAGAGGGGACAATTTAATGCTAGGTGAAACGAATAAAACATGTCTATTTACGAATATAATAAGAGCACATTTTCATTAATACAAATAATAATAAAATAAATTTTAGGTTTGGCAAATGTGACTATCATTTCAGGGGGAAATTAATTGAATTTATTGCAGATTGGCACACTAGTAAAGCCTTGACCGACTCAGAAATCTCTGTGGCAAAATCTCCCATGTCTGGCTAGACTCCCAGGACTATCTAAGCTACAGCCCAACTATAGATGAAACAGATGTATGATACGAAACACGTGTATTTTGGGAAGCGTATCGTGATGAAAGTGTTAGTCATAATCAACATTGCGGATTTGATAAAGAAACCAAAATCTTTTGATTGACCACTGAGGGTGTGAGTAATTGCTTGATGAGCCACCTTGGGTTTTTAAATGAATGAGCGATTGCGTGTACCAGAGATCGTATTTCACTCGTTCTAATTTTGATCGAAAGTCCACTTTCATAATGCTATTACGATGTGGTTTTAGAACATTCCATCTACTTCTTCATATTCGAAGGCCTTACCTAGGTCACTGGCCAACAATGTGAACTAGAAAGAAATGACGACCAACGTCTCATTTACTTTAAATTAAACCAAATTTCAAGAAAACGTTTAGTAACGCAATAGTCTCTACGTGCAATTATCTAGAGAGTACATATCCCATTCAGAACAGATCTTGAGAAATGCAGATGCAAACAACCTTTCTTTAAATGCAATCAATTGGAATCAGTTACTGATTGTTAGTTGATGTCTATTCTGTTTTGGTAATACTATTTCTTTATTTTAAAGATGTAAGACGGAAGGACAAATTGTCACGGAATGGCAAAATACTGCTACTGTTCCATCAAAAAGGTGCCTGTTCTACAAAATGAACGCAAGTAAATTATTTGGATTGTCTCAATTTGTGATGTTTAATTAGGTTTAAGAACACATTTTTTATAAAGGTTTATTTCCATTCTATAGGGTATATGAAGAGGATTATTTTATGCAACGCAAATAATCAAATGTGTACAATATCCTCACCTCCGTCAGCTAATATAAGCGAATCGATAAAGTGGAATATCTCCTGAACTTCGCACTCAAATACTCCTCACCGCATTCCACAATCAATAACATTTGAAGTTTCCCATCCACTTCTTCAATCAATTTAAAGAAGAGTAAATATAATGAGATTGAGAGTTAAGACTAGTTTCCTACGTAGTCAAATCGGGTTTTATCCGTGTCTGTTGTAACAGTAGTAAATAAATACCAAACTTCGTCAAGTTTTAAAAAGTGTTGCGTCAAACTTCCCATAAGAAATGTCACTCCTACAGCAGATATAAACCAACTTATGAATGTTACAATTTGAAATGAGCCTCCTTCGAAACGCTTCCCAAATTCGAATTAAAACCTGACTTTATTGTTTCTTTTCCATCTCGATTAGCAAACCATTTTTCCGTTTGCCGTTTTCGTCAATCAAATGCTTTTCCATAATTGAGCAATATAAGACCGAATTTATGATTTTTCTTGGGTAACTCTTTTAATATCTCTTAAATTTCGAATTTTTATTGCAGTTACCACTAGTGCACAATTTATGATTTCTAACACCTTCATAAAAGTGGTAACTGAGTTACGATGTTTTGTGATTGTTTATTTCGTTAATTTAGTGTTAAGTTTTCTCCAACTCAAGTTAATTTACCATTGCTAATAGGTAGGCATGCGCTGAACAAAAGATATGTATTCTACTATCTCGAAGAGGAAATGTTAAAAAGGAAAGAGAAATATATCAAAACCTACTGCCGTGTACCATCAATATCCGTCCAAATCTGTCACTCAACACAGAGACCCTAAACACCTTCAACTCTGGGGATTCGCAAGAAGACAACGTTTCTCATTCTATGTCAATCAATTTCTGGATTCCAAGTATTGCAATTTCACCAAAGAAGACAAAACACAAACTCTAGTGCAATAGTGACTGTCCCTATCAATTTGTAACCACTATCAAAACTCCATTGACGACTACTAAATTGCATTGAGGAGACTATGGAATCATGGAATTCGCAATCCGGAAATCAAGAAGCCGAACCACCACCAGCTAATATCAACTATATCCTGCAAATGCTAGTTTTTGCACTCAACTTGACCTACTTGATTTCATTTGTACTTACTTCAACTTTACAATCCAATCTTTGCCTTCAGATATTGTTTGCCTTTCCGTCCTAAAACCTTTCACGCTCGTCGTGGTCGAAGAGTTTCCTTCATCTCTTACCTAATTGATAATGCACCTTAACTAAAGGGGGGAGTATTGTGTGGCATGCAATGTTGTCACCGCTGGACAAGTAGTCTCATACGCGTCCAAACAGGCTTTAAGGTGCGGCGTACAACTTCGCTTAGGGAGTAAGTGCGGTCGTGAGTGCGGAGAACACAGCCAACCGCCAATCAATAGTCCTTAACTGGTTCATCAAGTCTGCCATATTAATATACTGACTAAGCTCCCCGTCCTTACACATGCGCCCACTCGCACACTTCCCGAATAAAAGCGTTCCGTGTGAATCTGGCATGGAGATTTCAGAGTATTGTCAGGGCCTATTAGTGTAGCATTCAGTAGCATCATAAGCTCTTCTCCTTCAAGAATAAACATTTCTCTTCCTTAGCAAAATAGGCTTTCAGTACCTTGATTTGTTCGTTAGTTCCAAAATTCATTTAGTGATATTTTTCTAAATAAGTATTGAGATATTTTGGAAAAAGTAACTTCTTGAAAGCCTAGCTATCTCATTGCGTACAAAGTCTGACGATGTTAAATTTTAAATCAACTTGGTATCATGTAGTGAATGAGCCCTATCTAGGTTAATGGTTGGCGGAAAAAGTACAGAATTGCATTGTTCGACCTTCCGAGGAAGAATTTGTAGTTTACACAATCTATTTTAAATCATGTTATTGTTCTTCTGTAAGTTAATTCTTTGGCTTTAAAAATCAGGACAAAAGGGCACCAGGCAGGACTCTCATTTTGCAACACCAAAATGGCCGATTAAGTCAGCTATACCCTCTTTCACTATTAGCAAACAAGATTGTAGAAAAATGTCAGCAAACTGTTAAACTGTTTCATAAAAAAGGAAACAAATTAAGACATTAACGTATGTAATTAGTCAAGTAATAAAAGAATATTCTGCCCAGTGAGGAATCTGTTAAATAATTCCGATTTTTTCATAAAAAATGAATAAATTATGATAGTAGCATGTGTTAATGATTCAAACAATGGTAGAATAAACTGCTCAGACTACACTAAACTCAGGAGTCACTCTATTCTAGGGATAACTTCAAAATGGTTTAAAAGGGGTTATCCATTTCTCTAAAGTGCAAACGTAGTAATTTCAACACAACGAATTAAAAACAAGGTGGGTGTTGGCACGAATAGGATTCGAGAATGATTCAAATTGCATCACGCTCTTCTCCTCTGTTCAAATCAGAATACACCACTTGTCTCTTCTTCAACGATGGAGCGATATGCACTTTCAGCTCTCTGTCTTGGTCTCTTCCTACTGATCCATCAATCCCAATGTACAAATAAAGTCATCTTCATATCCTTTGACGGATTCCGTCATGACTATCTTGATATGGCCAAAGCGAAGGGCATAAACATCTCGGCATTTGAAGAAATACGATCGCAAGGATTTCAGGCCATAGTTAACAATGTCATGACAACTCTAACCTTCCCATCACACTTCTCCATGGCTACGGGTAGGAATGTTGAAAACCACGGTCTTGTTGGGAATAAATTCTACGATCCCGAAACAGCCAAAACTTACGTTTTCACAAATAACAACAACAATATTGAACCTGAGTGGTTTGAATATGCTGGCTCGGAAGCACTTTGGGCAACGAATGAGAGACATGGCTACCGGAGTGCTGTTTTTTCATGGGTAGGAAGTGAGGCTAGGATTAACAATAAATTAGCCTTTGCTACTGCGGGTGTCTACAACACAGCTTACAGTCTGATTTATCGAATTAAACGAATGCTCGATTGGATCTCCAGTGATAGTTTCAATCTTGGCATGCTCTACTTCAACCAGCCTGATAGTGCTGGGCACAGGTTTGGACCCGATTCTCAGGAGGTCATGCAAGAAATAGAACTTTGTAATGCCGGTGTTGCTTATCTCCTTCAAAGAATCAAGGAGACACCTTCACTAAATGGTAAAATAAACCTCATCATCACATCGGATCATGGAATGGCTCAGACTGGTGAAAAGAATAAGATAGTCGATGTCTACAATGTTATAAAAGATTTAGAGGTCATTTTGGATGAGTCACCTGCCACTCTAGGAATTTGGCCCAATGGTTCAACTACTGAAGAGATATTAAATGCTATTGAACCATTAAATGAAAATGGTTTCAAGAAGTACATGCAAAATGATATTCCTGAAAGATACTTTTTCAAAAGAAACTACAGAATTGCTCCAATTTACTTAATAGCAGATCTCGGTTGGATGTTCAAAACTGGCCCTTCAGACTACGACCACTTGTGTAATTTTTTTATTTATTATTTTTTTCCACCATTGAAATATTAATTTATTATTCTCTTTTATTTCACTAATAGATGGTATGCATGGATATGACAATGAGTTTCCAGAAATGAATCCATTTATGGTGGCATCTGGTCCTGATATTGAGCAGTTCACTGAGAGACAGTCCTTCTTCCAAATCGACTTTTATCCACTCGTCTGTGCCCTTTTGAAATTGGACAAACCCAATCGAATAGATGGCAAAATTGACCGTGTCTTACGATTCATGAAAAACCCACCGAGTGAAGAATTCTTGACTCAGTTCCGCAAATACGCTGATGGTACCCTCCAGCACTAATTTCCTATACTTCAAATAAAGCTGTATTCGAACATTGATTTGCAAATATATTAATATAAAACTCCTGCTCATTAAAGAGCCATTACTCCCCTCTTTATCACGAAATACTGAAGGGTGAACCACCATATCAGAGAAAGTAGAACAACACTTTAATTTGTATGATTTTAGTAAGAAATCAAATATTTCATACACTATATATTAAATTTAGTGTCTCAAGATAAACTGAATAGCCAGCAATAGAACAAGAATGAAGAAGGTGTTGGCTGAAATGGAAAATACAATAAATTAGTAAAATGCGACATGGAAAGTTGTGGTGAAATAATCAACAGATCAGGTACCTTCAAGCATTGAAGAGGCATCAGGAAGTGGATCAAGACCTTTAGCATATCTGTCGAACTGTTTGAGCACATCCATCGAAGGTATGGTCTTCACAAAGGTAGCAACTCGCATGACATCGCTGTCCACAACGGCAGGCATATAATATTTCAAGAGGAGAAGGACCAGAGCATAAACATCAACCTGATAGAAACGGTCCACTCTGCCTAATTTCCTGATGCCAGGTCCAGCAGCAATTATGAATGGATGCATATCTGCGTTTGAGTTATTGTAACCATGATTTCCAACTAAAAATTAATAGGCAAGATCTTAAGACGAAAATAAACTCAAACAAAATACTTAATAGAAAGTGAAGGTATACCAATACTTCCAGTAAATGGGTTAGATTCATTTGTCAGAAGCATCCAACCTTTCTCGGCAATCACCACAATCGGCGCAACACGATCATTGTTTTTGTAATGGTACTCATCTGGAATTTCTTCCTTCTTATAAACCTTGCAATGTCCAAATTCAGTTTCCGCCTTTTTCACTTTTTCGTACAATACATCCACACTCTTCCCTAATGTAAGCAATAAATTTATCGACATTCATTTATATTGCATTTCACTGAAAATTAAATGCAAATACCCTTTGGCAGAGGCCATATACCCAATGTAGCAGGGGAACCGTCCACTCCACTCATATACTCTTCAGGAGGTAAGTACTTATGGATAGGTACAACTACACTGATATTGACCGTTGTCATTCCATGGTCACTAGTGACGATAATATTTGGTTTTTCAGGAAGGTTCTTAGATTCATTAATTCTTTCTATTAAATATGCCAGACCTTCATTGCATTGCTCAATCGCACTAAGCACTTTTTCAGAATCCGGACCACTGTTGTGACCTGAAGAGTCGGGTTCGTTGAAGTAAA